TTCTGCGTGGAGTTTGCATGTTCTCCCCGTGCAGTGTGGGTTCTCTCCAGGTTCTCCAGCTTCCTCCCACACAGTCCAAAAACATGTTGAGGTTAACTGGTGATTCTAAATTGTCCGTAGGTGTGAATGTGAGTGTGCTTGGTTGTCTGTCTCTAAGTGTAGCCCTGTAATAGACTGGTGACCTGTCCAGGTGAACCTGCCTTCACCCTGAGTCAGCTGGGATAGACTCCAGCCCCCCATGACCCTAGTGAGGATTAAGCGGTGAATAGATGATGGATGGATGTTTACAAGAAAATGTTGAAATGAAAAGTTAATTTTCTTGTGTGTACAAGATGAAGGGTCTCTGAACCATCTTGTAAAGCTGCAACATAAAATACATTTTAAGTCAGCAGTAATAACAAATAATCTTGCATATCATAATTTACTACAGACAGAGGTCAGTCTGCTACTTTAATAGTATTTTTACTTTAATACCTACTTTAGGTTCAAGGATTTTTGTCTACCTATAACTATTTCTGGTATTTTACTATAGAACCCGATAATACTGTATGTCTGTGAAGATTCTCAGTCATCCAGGTCATGGTTGTTCTCGTAGTTTAATCGTAGCAACTGGACTTGCTTGAGTTCCTTGAAAACGTTCCACCTCTCATCCAAGAGGCTTCATCAGGTCTGACTGACTAGTTGGGAGTTCCAGATACTTATATCCTTAAGGAGCCATTAACACTTGAGTTTCAGTTTCAGTGGGGGTTTGTTGCTCCTCCCTCTCGTTATGCGAGTCGTAGTACGACAATATTGTACTTTTCTGAAGTTCAGACAGTATTTATAAATATCAGCTGCAGAGTAAGGCGTACAGCGAGTTCCTCCTCTGTGACACTCAGACTGACTGGATGTTGGGATAACAAACCGTCACAGGCATAAAACTGACAAGAGCACAAACACAGTAACCGCCCCGACGCCGCTAATTAATCCACTTCAATGCTAAAGAGTCTGATCGCTGTAATTTTCCCAGAGATATAGTGTTTTTTTCTTCTCCTTCTTCTCTTCTCTAGCTTTTGTGAGCACTTAATAAAATCTTCCCACAGTAAAAACTTCAAAGTGTACGAAAAGCTCTTCATGTCTGTACGGACAGTTGTCACAATATCACATTTCTACGACGATTGTTGTGGCCAAAATAATTCATGGTGAGGATATCATCATGATATCTGTAGATAAACTGAAAAAATAATTCATGCTTTCTGTAAAATTCATCGTTAACAGTGTTCATGTTGGGTTTCATCTCATTTTTGGTAATTAAATTATAATAAAAACACACATGTCAGAGGGATGTTGTTCCGATGTTGGAGTGTCAATTAGATAGGGTTGGATTATTTAAATGCAATGACGTGAATGTTTTTAACATAATATCCCGGATATAGTGAATACGGATATAGCACAACACCCCTAGGATGTGTTTTAGATTAGATTAGGTTAGATTAGATTAGATTAAATTAGATCAGATTAGATTAGATTAGATTAGATTAGATCAGAGTAGAGTAGATTTAACTTCATTGTTATTTCACAGAGTACAAAGACAACAAAATGCATTTAACCAGAATTTTAAAAGCAGCAGTAAAGTGCTTTAGTTACAGCGTGGTAAATACAATATGTTACTGTATAAACAATGTGGACAGAGCGCCATGAACACACTAATATATGAATATATAGATGTGAATTCAATATAAAATACACAATCTGAATGTGCAGGTAGAGATCAATAGTGGCATGAGCAAAAGTATAAATGTTAGGAACAGTACTAATGCTATGAGATATGTGCAGTGCATATACAGGATGACCAGTATGTACACTACACATCCTACACTACTCATACTGTCAGTACATATGCTGAATTCTGATGCATCACCGGACTGCTGTGAAATTAATCTGTAACTTATATATCTGAGGTAAAGAGAACACACTGCATGTTGACATAAACATATATACATATATATATATATATAGCAGATGATGGGATCAGATTCTCCTCCCTTTCTGACAATCACATCTGACAGTTGAGACCAACAGGTGGCGTTGTGCTCCCAAGTGGCAGCACAAACCTGCTGACTGCTGCTTTACAGTTATGATGACACGCTGACATAGTGGTGTCACGTAAACCAAACATGAGAGGAAGCTGTTTTATAATAGTATCTACTGTATTATTGGTGGCTGTTGTTTCATTAAAAACAATCACATTGCTGCTAAAAAGTTAAATTATCTATAATTTAATTAATCCAGCTCATCACATAGCATCACTTCAGCCTCTACTACAACATGTGGTCGTAGCTGTTCCTTGGCAAAGTGATGAAGTGCGTCGTAAACCTGAAGTGTTTCCAGGAAAGTTATAGTGATGAGATGAGTTGCCATGTATGAGAGGCAGCAATGGATCATACTTCCCATGTTGTCACTCACCAGCCATGTTCCATTAATCTCCCGTACGGTCCTATCGCCCCTGATGGCTCTATCATTCATCCAGATCACGTATGTGTGTGTGTGCTGACGTGATTTCATCTGTCAAGGCGACACACTTTGGCTGACTTTGTGCGTTTTGTCAACTTGTGATCAGCAGTTTTGTAAAATACAGAAATCAATAAATCTCACTTCAACCACAGAAACTAACAAAATGCAAACTGTGGGCGACGCAGTGAAACTCGAGACTGTGAGACTGTTACTTCCACTGCAGACGAGGTGAGAGAATTTGCCTAATGTGCAGCCTCTCAGCCTCTGAAGCCTTTTCTCATGAATAACTGAAACGTCTGGTTTAAATGCATCTCCAAAAAAAGCATAAATTTCACCTAGAAGAAATGCAGTTGTTGCCCTGTGGGGCTAAAGGACAACAAATTGAGCTCATGTGGGGCTGAACAGTGAAGCCAGGGCCGAATATTTTATTTTTTTAAAACTGCAATTCCTCATTTGGCCACTTGAGGCTGCTCCGAAAGTGAGTCAATCCCCATAGACCCTCATGTTAAAAGGTCAGACTTTACAGCAGAAATAAACTCGTTTACAGCCTGTTACAAAAACAATTTTGGTCTCCATAGCTAATTTCTATATTCATGACAACTGCACAGGGGCTGAAGTTTTATGTAATTTACCTATTTACAATGTATTAGGGCTTAAATGTTATGCATGATTTCTGGTGTGGCCGCTTTGAAGGGCAGTTGGGTTCCATCACAGGACCGTCCATAGCCCACCTCAGCTAGAGCCATTCACGTCATCTTTTTTGCTCATTTGTGGATAAGGCAGGACTTAATGGCAACAGCTGGAGCATCACACTGAGCTCTTCAAGGAAACCTGCTTGCAAGGACAACCTGCAAATATGTGAAACAGACAGCAAAACAAGAACTTCAATATTAGAGTTTCAACTATCAGGCACATGGCAGAAGTCTTCAGAGCACAGTCTTACATGGTTTCCTGCAGGAGTCTGTTTCTTAAACCTTGCACAAGCGAGGAACACTGTCCTCCACCAATGTTCATCAGGACCTTCTGAATGACTTCCAGTGAGTTACTTTGGATAGTCTATGTTTAGAGCAAAAAGAAGACCCATCAGCATGGCGACCGCCCTCGGGATGTCCTTCAGATCAGACAGGACCACCGACATGTCAATGATGTCTTCTCCCTCTTTCACCATCACAACACCAACTTTTCATTCCCCTGATCAACGTGTCCTCATCATCAGTGGCCTCCACAGTCCTGAAACCATGCACCACGAAGGGTTCACACGAGTTTATGCAACAAATGTAGACTAATCATTCTGAATCTCGTTGTTTAAAAGCCCAAAAGCCTCACAATTAGGGAGCATAGTAAAAAAAAAAAAAAGAGTGTGGACACATGAAAACATGGTCGTTTCTTGTATCTACAGGTGTCTTCTACAGGTGCTCGTACTTGTTGAATAGTCGTTACTTGTACTATAAGAGTCCAATAACAAGCAAAACTCTTAAAAGCTTGAAGTCTTTTTAGGTTGGATGTTGAGGGGTTGAATGTTTGTTCATTTATCAGAACAAATGGCGACTAACTTACCATCAACTATCACTTCTCCTCTCCGTCTCGTCGAGAATCAACCAACACAAAACCCCCTGAACCACAAACTCAAAGTGCTGAGGGAACGTGCTGCTCACCTGGGGGACATCGTGACCCAGTTCCTTCAGCAGCTCCTGGTTGTGAGCTTTGTTCCCCTCATAGAAGGAGTTATACCTTTACCTAAAAAAATCTCAAGCGCTAAGGTCCCAGATTTAATAACATCTGTGAATGCATGGAGCGAGGAGCTGTTTGTGCTGCACCAACACCACGAACAGGAAGCTCTGGCAGCCCTTCAGAGCGTCATTTCACTCCACGCTGACATCAAGCGTTGCCTCACTGAGCCTCAATTAAATGTTTAACTGAGATATTCATTCAGTCTCTCACCTCTGAACCAGAGTCCAAAGAGAATTGCGAAGTGAGCGAAACAAACCAGCATTAATTATTAGTTGCCTAATTAATTAGCCAGCTGGTGTTGTGTGTTTTTTTTTGGGAAGTCCTGTTAAAATGTCTTACTCGCCTGGCTCTGTGTTGTTGTTTTTTCTAATCTGTGCCTTTTTGTGTGCAGTTGTGTGTTCTGTGCTTTACTGGCGGGGATGTGAAGTCAACTCTTAATGATGCAGCTGCGATTCATCAAAAAAAAAAAAAAAATCCAGCCGAATGCAAAGCCAGTATCAGCAGTTGTGTGTGCATTTGTTTGAGTGAACGCATTTCAGTTTTCGTGATCGATTTAGAAAAACGTGCCAATCTGAAGGTAATTGAAGTCAGATTGTTGTCGGCTGACTCAGATGTAAGCAAAGCAGCTTAGTGTGAATAAACACAAACAGAAACCCTGACGTACTGGGAGGAAAAAAAATTTAAAAAAAGGTTGTTTTGTTTTCACCTTAACCTCAGCCGGTGTTCCTGACATTAATCTCGTCAATTTCTTTCCCTCATCCATCCCTTGCTGACAGATATGTACCGTCTGGAGTTGGCTGGTGGTCTCGGGGTCATACTGCTGCTGCTGGGAGTCCTAACCGCACTTTATAAGTGTTACAACCTGGAGATCATGCTCTGCTACAGGAGACACTTTGGGAGTGATGAGACTGAAGACGGTAAGATGCTCTGAGGGCTCGATTCGCACAGAAGCAGATCAGAACGAGAACAGAAGAAGCAAAAAAAAACTACAAACATGGAGGAAAGCAGCAATGTAAAAGAGCACGTTGTCGGCCTGATGCTAAGCTCAAAATGTTGGACATGAAGTGCAGTTCCAGTAGCAACCAGGGCTGTTAAAGTAGATTTACAAAAACAAACAGAAAGTTGTGAGATCATCTCTGATCATCGGAACCGAACTGAAAGGTCAGACTTCTCCTGCATGTCGTGTTACTACTGTGCACAGATTCAACGAGATAAAAGAAAAAAATAATGAGTGAAAAGCTATTAGTAGGTTATGACAGAAGAAGAATGGGAAAAAAAAATCATCACAAAAAGATGCACGACAACAATTACACTTCAGTCCACGGCGAAGTCACGAAAAACCAATTAATGTAAAATAAAGAAGAAAAATAACTGCGTTTGTTCTTCCATCCATTTGGTGGAATAATGAGCTTCTTTGTGCAGCACTTTCCAGAAGTAAAGCTGATAAATCATTAAACGTTAAGAAAAAGAGAGAAAGAAAACTACAAACATGTAAGTCTGTAATATTGATCCGGAGTATTGATTTCAAATTAAGGTCCTCGGGCAGCCTGCTTTCCTAAGACGTGTACTCCGAGGCCCTAAAGATGAATCACTGTTTTCCTTTAGTCTCATCAAGCGAAAATGTAACAACGATTAGAGAGTGTCCTGGTCCAGGAAATATGTTGATGCATTACTTAGGGAGGGACTGCAGACGTTTACCGCCAGAATCGCTGCACGAGCCGAACAATGGTGCACAGCGGATGACCAGAGGGGCCTCAGACAAGCTATTTGATGGAGCTCTCAGGAGACGCATAAGTTGCAGAAGGTCAGAGATGTAGCTGCTCTAGTGATCAGCACAATCTCCGAGCTATTTCTGAAGCCGAGAGGCGGCCAGTGAAGTGACGCGGGAGTGGAGTCGATGGAGTTCTTTTGCATCGCGCTCTCTGATTC